TGATAAACATAGCAGTTTCTCTAAAACTGCTATGTTTATAAAACAATGGGTTAACCCTAGAAGGACCTGGCACCAAGACCACTTCATTAAGCTGAAGTGGTCTGGGTGGCTAGAGTGGTCCTTTAAGAGTGTAGTGTGTATATTATATATATTTGGAAGTATTGTGTATGTGTGTGGTGCAGTGTGTTGGGGGGGTTCTGTGTGTATGTGAGGGGTGCAGTGTGTGTGTGTGTGTGAGGGTGCGGTGTGTGTGTCGTGTGTGTGAGGGGTGCGGTGTGTGTGAGAGTGCTGTGTGTGTGAGAGTGCTCTGTGAGTGTGATGGGTGTGAAAGTGCTGTGTGTGATGGGTGTGAGAGTGCTGTGTGTGTGAGAGTGCTGTGAGAGTGCTGGGTGAGAGAGTGCTGTGTGTAATGGGTGTGAGAGTGCTGTGTGTGATGGGTGTGAGAGTGCTGTATAAATGTTATTGTGTGTGTGTAGGGGGGGGTAATTAAGTCATTATTCCCCCCCCCTCCCTTCTTACCTTTAGCCTGGGAGGGGGGTCCGGCACGCTGGGAGGCGGGGTGGAGCTGTTCCCTGGTGGTCCTCGTGGGTGAGTGAACTCTAGCCCGCATAGCCTGTGAGGCTAGAGTTCACTCTCGCGAGATCCGGTCGTTGCCATGGCAACGTGCCGGATCTCGCGAGAGGAACCCGGCGGAGCTGCAAGTTAGAGCTCCGCCGGGTCCTCTCTCCAGCCTGGCTGGCTCCCTCCCTCCCTCCCCGCCGGCGGCCGCATGTGGGCCGGTCAGGGAGATCCTTGATCCCCCCACCGGCCCGTCGTGGCAAACAGCGGGGCCGGCGCTAGGAGAGTGCCGGCCCTGCATAGACCGGCAGGGGAGATCCTGGGACCTCCCCTGCCGGCCTCGGCCCCACGGACACCGCGGCCCACCGGGCATTTGCCCGGTGTGCCCGATGGCCAGTCCGGGCCTGTAGCCAATCCAATGCTTTGGCTAAAAATCAGTAATTATGATGATGTCACCGAGGAGACGGGGCCAGTGTCAGCAGAATAGCACGGCACTGGAAATAAGATGAGTTTTTCATGCTTTTAAGGGAGTGCGGGGCAAGCCACCTTAATGGTGGGTTTTCACTATAAGGTCAGGAATACATGTTTATGTTCCTGACCCTATAGTGTTTCTTTAACCGCTTAAGACCGGAGTAATAGTACGCCTTCCGGTCTTTCTGTACTTACCAGGTCGCCGGCGATCGCAGTTGGGGGGACTCCCAGGGAGCCCCCCGCAGCAGATCTTCCTCCTGCAGCCCCCCCCCCCTCCCCCGGCCATGTGAGAGTGAGGTCCTTGTGAGGACCTCACAATCACATGGCCGGGATAGCTGGCTGCAGCATTGCCAGCAGGGGGGCTGCCTGTAATGACAGGTGGTCCCCCTGCTGGCTAGAAATAAAATTAAAATAAATTAAATAGTGTAAAAAAATAAATAATATATATATTATATATATATGATCTAAGTATATATACACACATATACATACACACATACACTGTCTAGGTGTATTTTACTATTAATATATATATATATATATATATATATTAATATCAAATTACACGTAGACTGAAACTGACTAAATATATAATTATTGTTATATATATTTATAATATATAAAAATTAAATATGTAAATACGTTAAAAAATAAAATAAAAAAATTTAAAAAAATATATAGATGTGTGTTATTTCGTTCTAACTGTATTGTGATATTAATATATATATATATATATATTTATATCAAAATACACGTAGGACGAAATAATATATATCTATATACAGTTGCAAGAAAAAGTATGTGAACCCTTTGGAATGATATGGATTTCTGCACAAATTGGTCATAAAATGGGATCTGATCATCATCTAAGTCACAACAATAGACAATCACAGTCTGCCTAAACTAATAACACACAAATAATGAAATGTTGCCATGTTTCAATTAAACACACCATGTAAACACAGTGCAGATGGAAAAAGTATGTGAACCCCTAGACTAATGACATCTCAAGAGCTAATAGGAGTGAGATGTCAGCCAACTGGAGTCCAATCAATGAGATGAGATTGGAGGTGTTGGTTACAGCTGCCCTTCCCTATAAAAAACACACACCAGTTCTGGATTTGCTTTTCACAAGAAGCATTGCCTGATGTGAATGATGCCTCGCACAAAAGAGCTCTCAGAAAACCTACGATTAAGAATGGTTGACTTGCATAAAGTTGGAAAGGGTTATAAAAGTATCTCCAAAAGCCTTGCTGTTCATCAGTCCACGGTAAGACAAATTGTCTATAAATGGAGAAAGTTCAGCACTGCTGCTACTCTCCCTAGGAGTGGCCGTCCTGTAAAGATGACTGCAAGAGCACACCGCAGACTGCTCAATGAAATGAAGAAGAATCCTAGAGTGTAAGCTAAAGACTTACAAAAGTCAAATGCTAACATCCCTGTTAGCGAATCTACAATACATAAAACACTAAACAAGAATGGATTTCATGGGAGGATACCACACAGGAAGCCACTGCTGTCCAAACAAAACATTGCTGCACGTTTACAGTTTGCACAAGGGCACCTGGATGTTCCACAGCAGTACTGGCAAAATATTCTGTGGACAGATGAAACCAAAGTTGAGTTGTTTGGAAGAAACACACAACACTATGTGTGGCGAAAAAAAGGCACTGCACACCAACATCAAAACCTCATCCCAACTGTGAAGTATGGTGGTGGGGGCATCATGGTTTGGGGCTGCTTTGCTGCGTCAGAGCCTGGACGGATTGCTATCATCAAAGGAAAAATGAATTCCCAAGTTTATCAAGACATTTTGCAGGAGAACTTAAGACCATCTGTCTACCAGCTGAAGCTCAACAGAAGATGGGTGTTGCAACAGGACAATGACCCAAAGCATAGAAGTAAATCAACAACAGAATGGCTTAAATAGAAGAAAATACGCCTTCTGAAGTGGCCCAGTCAGAGTCCTGACCTCAACCCGATTGAGATGCTGTGGCATGACCTCAAGAAAGCGATTCACACCAGACATCCTAAGAATATTGCTGAACTGAAACAGTTCTGTAAAGAGGAATGGTCAAGAATTACTCCTGACCGTTGTGCACGTCTGATCTGCAACTGCAGGAAACGTTTGGTTGAAGTTATTGCTACCAAAGGAGGTTCAACCAGTTATTAAATCCAAGGGTTCACATACTTTTTCCACCTGCACTGTGAATGTTTATATGGTGTGTTCAATAAAAACATGGCAACATTTCATTCTTTGTGTGTTATTAGTTTAAGCAGACTGTGATTGTCTATTGTTGTGACTTAGATGATGATCAGATCACATTTTATGACCAATTTGTGCAGAAATCCATATCATTCCAAAGGGTTCACATACTTTTTCTTGCAATTGTACATAAATATAATGCGATATATCAGCCTATATGTATATACCTATATATAAATAAAATATTTTTAAAAAATTATATATATATATATATATATATATATATATATATATATATATATATATATATACACACACACACACATTAATTTACATATATATTTATGTAATATTTTTTACAATTGGGTATCTTAATTAATTACAATTACGGACCTGCCTGAAAAACCCATGCCGAAGTAAAGGAATTTAATTATTAAAGACTATATTTAACCCATATCTTTTTCATATTATAGAAAATCCTGAGATAGGTACTGTTCTATTGGGATTTCATGAACACAGACAGAGCCAAAAACAGCAAAATGTACACAACCATGATATCGCCAGCAGTGACTTTTTGCATTTTTCACGCACAAACAGCATTACACGGACAATATTATTGCTGTGATACTTTTTACTGTTTTGAAACACAAATATTTGTGTTCAGCGAAGTCTCCAGAGTACAACAGCACCCCTCATGTACAGGTTTTATGGTGTTTTCAAAAGTTACAGCGTCAAATATAAGGCTTGCGTTTCATTTTTTTCACATTAAAATTCGCCAGATTGGTTGCGTTGCCTTTGAGACCCTATGGTAGCCCAAGAATGAAAATTACCCCTATGATGGCATACCATTTGCAATAGTAGACAACCCAAGGTATTGCAAACAGGGTATGTACAGTCTTTTTTAGTAGCCACTTAGTCACAAACACTGGCCAAAATTGGAATTTTTTGCATTTTTCACACACAAACAAATACTAACGCTAACTTTGGCCAGTGTTTGTGACCAAATGGCTACTAAAAAAGACTGGACATACCCCATTTGCAATACCTTGGGTTGTCTACTATTGCAAATGGTATGCCATTGTGGGTGTAAATTTCATTCCTGGCTACTATAAAGTCTCAAAGGCAACGTAACCAATCTGGCGAATTTCAATTTCAAATGTAACGTGCTATATTTGACCCTGTAACTTCCCAAAAAGCCATAAAACCTGTACATAGGGGGTACTGTCTTACACGTGAGACTTTGTTGAATACAAATATGTGTATTTTATTGCAGTAAAAGCAAACAGTATTATGACATTGACAGTTAAAATGTCATGTAGAACTAAAAAAATAAAAATAAATCTTATTTTCTCCCATTTTTTTCATATTAAATTATGTTTCATAGCTAAATATTTGATATTAAATGAAAGCCCTGTTTCCCCTGAATAAAATGATATATAATAAGGGTGGGTGTATTTACTATGAAAGAGTTGAATTACGGTTGGACAGACATGTAGCGCAAATGCCAGGTTTTGTTTACATTTTGTTTCGTTCACAGCGTGTACATTTGGCTCCGTCCTTAAGGGGTCAAGTCTTGTGGACTTTGAGCCGGTGTTTTGGATCCACAAACCCCCCCCCGCAGATGGAGACATGCAACCTACCTACATTCCAAATCTTCAAATGGGAGAAAAAAAAAAAACAACTAAAAAACACACACACAAAAAACAGACCATTTCAACTCTCTGTATGTTTTGCTCTTTTGTTTTATTATAAAAAAATCAATATTCTTTGTTACAATTCAGCTTATAGTAATAATGAAACATTTTGTACAAAGTCATTTTTGATTTTTTTTTTTATTGTACACAGCTTACAAAGTAAAAGGGCTTATTTTACAAACATAATTATAAAAAAAGAAAAAAAAATGTGAACAAGTGGCTCTGAGTTGACCAAATGTTGGTCGTTAGCATTAATATACATCCTTGTGCAGATCTGTCGTACCAGCGGCAGGTGGAAGAAAACAAGCAAATAAAGGAACATGGTAAAAAGCATTGCACAACAATAAACAAACCTTCATACAGGTGTGTTGCAGACCCACTAAATAAAAAAAATAAAAAATACACCTTTGAATGCCAGATGGGCAATATGACAATCGACATTAAATGCTTATTGCATTCCAAATCTTTTCTACATCCTACAGTTGACCCTAATTTATTTTTTTGGCTGAAACCAAAACGGTTTTGATGCATACCCATGGTTGTGGTACAACCTGGTACTTTAACCCCTTAAGGACACATGACACGATTCCCTTTTATTCCAGAAGTTTGGTTCTTAAGGGGTTAAAAAAGCACCAGTAAACAGATCTTATGTGTTGTGGCATCCTAGTCTAACAGGCTGTATTGCAATGAGGTCTGGAGAGTTTGTGTACTTCCCTTGATTTTGACTCTGACATTACGCCAACAAGTAAACTTCTTTTTCAAGGACCATGAGAAATAGCCGTTTACAAGGAAGGGGTTTATTAATCGAACGCTAAAGAATGGGATCCAAAATATTAAATTTTTCCAGAAAATCAAACACAATAATACAAATACAGAACAAAAACCTTTGCAATCTTCTTTGGTTATTCCAGTTTCAGTTTGCTTTTTTATCATAAGTGGCATTTGAAATGATATATAATATTTAAAAATAGCTGCAAAAGGTTTAGTTTGGGGCTGTCCAAATAGAGGTCAGATGGACTATATACTACTTCATGGTAGGATTTTCGATTTAATGTTGTCCAGTCCTGTGACTTTGAAGTAATCACACATCCACCAAATATTACATTACTGGTTGCAGGAATGCTGTTCAAACATGTTTGATCACTAATGGCATGGAGAATACCAAAGTTAATACTTGGTACCATAGTATGAAGCTTATTCTCCTGGGTTCTATTTAAAAAAAAATAAAAAAATAAAAAGGCACCACAGTCCTTATGTTCCTTAAAGTGGACCTCTAACGTGTTTTTTTTGTACCAACTAAATGTTAGTTATGGGTTGTGCTTTAGTTTCTTTTTAAAATTACAGTCCATTTAATTTATATTTTACATAGCATGCACAGCTGTCCTGGCACAGAGCATTACATGTAAATGATTTAAGCCATGTCATTCACAAATACAGCAGTATGTCAGGAGTGTTTGAGCACACATGGACTCTTAAAGCATGTCTACGTAGATGCCAGAGTGCACATTTGACATATAGCCCACTCCAGTAAACCCCTTGATAATGTGGATAGGGGGTAAGAAAATGAAGATATGTGACCAAAAAACATTCTGCTTTGAGGGTCATGCCAATTTTTTAAAAGAAATTACACTCCTGTTTTTAAACTACATTGTGCCTATCAATGCCTTAAAACAGCACTGCTCATAGGCATGATTACATTTTACAACCTGACCTTTTTCTGTCTAAGAAATGAAGAAGTAAACCTAGGCATTGCATTGCGATTGGCTTGAAGGGAACTATTC